GAGGGTGTTTTCCGACGACGATGAGAGTATTTTTCGACAACGTTTCAACGCTCAAGTCAGAACAAAGGACAAATGAAAGAGAAGGGGAGAGAAAAACCACGGTGGGCCAAATGAGGTCAAAGGAAATAGGGTAGTCGAAACTATAGGAATGTGGTGGCTTCGGGGCGAATAGAGATGGTCAACGGAGTATTTCATGATCTGGTGGAGAATATAAGAGAAGAGAAAGAGAGATGATTTAGGAACGATGCTCCGCCCGAAAAGAAGGCCGAAATGGAGAAAAAATATGGAAAATATATGTGAGATTGGCCCTAAACAGCCGGAAAGGGTTTCAAGGTTCAAGGGAATGGACCTTTAGAAAGAGTTTTTTTATTTAGCCAAAAAGATATGATCCTTATTATGGAGTAGATAGGAATATTTATAGAGTGTTACCTGTCTAGGTTCCACGCCTCGAAGTCGGTTTGGTTCTCGATTCCTGGATCTTGATCAGTACAATGCACTCAAGTGCTTTTGTCTCGCTTTATATGACTCTTTATGCCATTTTCATAATGGTGCGATGTTGCGGCTAACTCAACGTAGTGCTGGTAGCGTCTGATGGTGCTCCCTTGGAATCAACTTTGCTCAGCTTTAGTCGATGTTCACAACATAGACCACCAGTTTTTACTCTAACATACATAAAATGAAAGTACTTTTATCCTTTGACTAAAAACTCAAATACTAGGTGATGGGGAAAGATTACTTTAGGCGCGATAAAATATATTTTTTACCTTGCATGATCCCTTGATAAGAGAATTCGGCCAACGTGTTCCATTCCTGGGTGGAATTACTCTGTTATGGGCCTTTTATTTACCTGCCCCGGGTTCTTTTTCTCTGAATAGCGTGATCCGCTATCGAGGTATTAGACCATGTTTCTTCTTCTGTGGGATCATACCATTGTAGGGCTAGGCCCAAAACCTGCCTTCGAAACTGTTATTGCATGATAAATTCCACTCGAGACACTAGGAATCCACCATGCCACGTCTGGCTCAGAAAAATTATTTTGTTCCCAACAACAATGAAGCAAATTG